AACAATAGTACGTAATCTTTCAATGATTTATCTCTTATACCCAGCTTATATAAGGCGTGCGTGACGCGGGCGGGAGGGTCCCGCGCTGCCCCGTGCGGTGCCGGACCGATGCGCTCGACAACTGTCAATCTGGACCGCCCGATCACGAAGATCGCGCGACCGAGATTGGCCACGCGCAGATTAGCATAACCCCTGCGCAAGGATGACAAGCATAAATCGAGAAATGACCGGAATTGTTTTCGATTCCCTTAGGGAATCGAACTCAGGTCAGTACATCGGCAAAGGAGGGGAGGAAATGCCAGCAAGGCTGGCGTGGATTGCAATGGCCGTTAGCTTATGCCAGCGGCAAACTCCCTACTGGACTGCACGCCATGACAGATGGCACATAACCATGTGGCTGGGGACTTACAGTCCCCAGTAAGGACAACAGGCGCCCGTTGGAAACAGGCAGCCGTTTTTCTTTTTTAAAGGTAAGTTGTTTTTCTTTTCTTTTTTTTCTCGATTTCGTTTTAGATTTATTTTTCGTTTTATATTTTTTTGTCCTCTTTAGATTCTGCTCGTTCTTACGAGCTGAAAGATCCTCTCTGTGCCCGTTCGTTTCAAAGCAACGGGCTGCAGAGAGATTTCCTACGATAGGGTTAGCAAAATCGAATGAAACTACCCTACAACGGGGAACTATGCAGAGAGAGAAAGAAGGGGAAAGGTTAAGTGCAAGGCTGTTTCGTCGGGGTTACACCGACTCATCAGGAGGCTGAACCCCGAACTAAGATGAGCAAAAAGGAATGAATCTACCCTGCAAAGTGGAACTATGCACTACTTCTAGAGGGAAAGGGTGAGGAATAGAGACCTTGCCTAACAATGGAGGCAACTACGATGAAGAACGGCCAAACAAGTAAGTTTTTGGCCTCATGCCACTTCGAACGACAAGGTGAGTATGCCCGAATGTATCTGCCCCTAGACATGGGAGTGTGCAGACAGGGCGACGGTGAGTCATTCCAGGAAGTCCTCTTCATTTTCTCTTTCCCCCTTGCGGCCGTTGAGGCAAGGCCACCAGGGAAAATGAGGAAAAAATGAAAACAAAGAGAACTAAAAACTGTTAAAAAAAAAAAAAAAAAAAAAAATGCAGAGAAAGAAAACGAAAATGAGGCAACTGCCTCGTAGGGACTAAAGAACCAAAGAACAGTCTTTTCGGCTGTATGGGAGAAAGATGAGCTCCCAATGTGGGTTGGCTGAATATTAGTGGCCATGAGATCTAGAATCTCACGGCCTTTAGTGTACGCGCGAGAATGGGAAAAGGAAGTTGGTTGAAGAGAGAGAGAGAGAGGGACGTGGGAGTTGAGAGGGGGAGGTCCTACTCCTCCCAACCTGCCAATTGCCCTCCCCGTTTTCAGGGGAGGGCAGAGAAAAGTAAGGGAGGACTGTAACATGCAACTGCATGAACCTGGCGAAGACAATGGCCAGACGCATGCAGCTAGAATTTTTTTTTTTTTTTTTTTTTTTTTTTAATTTCTTCTTTATGTTTGTGAGGACATTTGTCCTCACGTGGTGCTACCTCTGGTAAGAGCTGCCAGAGGTAACTTTCAGGCTCCCGTTTTTGAAGGGAGCCTGGAAATTGAAGGGCCACTAAGGAAAAGGCTAGGTGCAGCCTTTTCCCCAATGTATCTGCCTTGGGAAAAGGGTCCAGATACATCAAACTGTAGGGGGTTGTATCTTTCCAACTCCTTATCAGAAAAATAAAAGAAAAAAGGTTTTGGAAATGGCAGGAAATGAGCTATCTCGTGAGATTCCGAGATAGTTGGGAAAAATAAAAATAAAAATAAAATAGGGCAGTTAAAAAAACTGCCCCACACTAAGGTTGTGGCTGTGGTGCGGCCACAGTCAACCCTGGATCCTGGCGGATCAAGGGCTCACAGTGAGCCCGCGATTTTGCCTGGGGGCTGGAGTGACGTCCAACCCTCCTCAACCAACATAAAACAGGCAGCTGCCCCCCAACTGCTATAGAATGCACTCGTGATGCCAGTATGTGACGAGCACACTTGAGTGTTGCTGGCTGCTGGAGCTGCTGCCTGAGGCAATGTGAGGAGAGGCTGGAGGTCTGCAGAGGAGCGCAGCCATAGCCAAGGCAGGGAGCACTCTGCTCCCCCCCCCCCTCTGGCTGGTGCTGGTCCCACGGAACAGACCCAATGACGCTGCGGGACTACGGCAGTGCGGCACAGTGAAGTTTGGGTTTGGGGCCCAAATTTTATTAATTTAACCTGTTGTTTTTCACTGCGGTGGTACGGAAGTGCTGCCGAAATTTGCGGCGGCAGTTCTGATTTTTGCGGCGGCGATTCTGTTTTTTTTTTTGCGGTAGTGCGGAAGAGCTGCCGGATTTTGTGTCGGTAAGTCCGGTTTTAATGGCGGTAGTGCGGAAGCGCTGCCGGATTTTGTGGCGGTAAGTCCGGTTTTAACGGCGGTAATGCGGAAGCGCTGCCGGATTTTTTTGCGGTGTCAGTATTGGATTCTTGCAGCGACGACACTGTTTTCACGACAGTAACGACAATATTTTTGCACTAGGTAGAGGTGGGGCATTGACACAGAAGGGCTGCGTCAAAGCGGTGTTTCAATTTGAAGTGGCGTGAGGGTGACGCCGCGGAGACGCCGTGCTTTGGAGCCAAGTGGCGGTGACAGGATAACGCCACCTGACCATTGGGAAGTGATTGTGTGCTGAAAGGGTATTCTGTTAGGCGGTCGTCACAAGAGAGTGGTGTCGATCACTTTGGTGACGACTGGGTGCGACGACCTTCTCGTCAAGAGAGCGTAATTCTATACGGTTTTCTTGAAGTATACCGTTCAAACTTTACTTAAGGTCAGTTGACCCGACTCAGTTCCCTTCACACCTGTGTGAACCCACACTTGCTTGACCTTGGTCCTTTAAACGTTCATTGGAAAGGAAAAGAGAATGTGTGTTTGCATGTATGACAGAGAATCTGACGATGGCAAGGGATTTGTATGATGGTCCATTCGTGGTCTGACTTTGATTGCAGGTACAACATGTGCGATGAGATGAATGAGAGTGATGATGGTGAAAGAATGGTTGTTTTCTCAACTCTTTGCTTGTAACATGTTATTCGTTAAAATATGACATTATACCGTGTCCTCTTTCTAACGAATTTATTTTTGGTTGCATTCTAAGCAACGTAGGCACCCCCGTCCAACGCCTTGTGCCTTGTGTAGAAGCGTGCTGAGATTCATACTTGTGAAACTTTATAAATGATATCCCAAATGAGGAAGCGTGTTCAGACCCATACATGTTAGGCACGCCGCCCGGGTACCCTGCGGAAGTGTGCTGGGATCCTAACTGTTTGAACTTCAAAAACATGTCGTCAAGCTTGTGCGGAAGTGTGCTGGGATCCGTACTTGTTAAACTTCGTAAACGAATAACGATAGGCACGCCTATCAAGAAACCCTGTGCGGAAGTGTGTTGGGATCCTTACTTGTTGAACTTCAAAAACGTGTTGGGAATCCTGTGCGGAAGTGTGCTGGGATCCATACTTCTTAAACTTCAGAAATGAATAACGATAAGCACGCTCGTGAGGGAACAATGTGCAGAAGTGTGCTGGGGTGTACAGGCATGTCCAACCTCTCGCCTAAGACCATTGACTGGATGTTCGACGAAATCCGGAGTAAGTGGAGAAGACATAGAGTAGCAATAGGCACGCCCATCCGGGAAGCCTGTGCGATAGTGTGTCGGGATCCATACTTGTGAAACTTGAAGTTCCTAAATGTGACGAGCAAGGTGTCATGATTGAATCGTTGTTGGCTAATACATTTGTTTCGGTTATGCCTAAGCTGTACATGCATGGCAATCATCTCGCTCAAGACGATTCTTAGGATGTGGATGAGGTTCGGACTTCTTTAAAATACTTAGTGTCCGAAAAATATGCCTACCATCTCGCCAAATGTGCAGAAATGTGATGAGATCCATACTTGTTTACAATTGTGATGAGCATAGTGTCATGATTGCATCCTTTTTCGACATGTATGCTTTGAACAATGTGACATTGGAAATTTCAAGCAATGTAAGAGTCACAGTAGCAGACGGAAGTTGTCGGTTACATGTACGTCAGGCGGTCACAACTATTGTGATGCTATGGGCACACAAGAGACGTGACGTCAGTGGTCTTCGACTTTTCGCATAACGAACCTCACCCTCACACACTCGGCGAGATTCGTCTTGCATCCACACTCCAATTCGTCATGTCGCACTACACACAACAATATCATTTCGGGGTGAATTATACGTATAACTTTGGAAGAGGTGGACAAAATTTGGAACGAGGAATGCAATGCAACGAATTTAATAGAACGACAGACGAGCGGGACCTTACAAAGATTCGAAAGTCAACACACGATGCCAGACTGACAGTGAGCATACCAAAGACAACTCAAACTTGCAACACTAAAAGAAAGTAATGTCGTTGTGAAAGCGACAGTTGAACAATGTGAGGATCCAAAAACTGTAATCATTAAAATATGAAATATTTTGAAACGAAAGTTTGCAAATCATTCGAACCCATCAATGACAATGGCATTCCAATATACATGATGCCAATTGTCGTCTAATATGCGGAATATCTTTACAAGAGAACCTGAAAGGCGGTCGATCGCCAAGTTGCAACAGTGTCGCAAACATCAACATAAACACTCCGCAACTAACTCCATCCACTTATCTTGGAACTCCCTCTATAATAACATTTGTTGCTACCGACTTCCAACTCCTACCCGACCGCGTATGTAACGTTTGACACTCCAAATACTGTACAATCAACTCGAATACACTAAGGTAAAAACTAGAATCGGCTATAACGCGAGAAAAAGAATCGAAAATCTCAAGAATATTATCTCTCATGTTGACGGAAAGGAGGATCGAGTGATCATCATCTTTGTGGACTGGAACAAAGATGATATCATATTGAAGCAGATCCACGTTCTTAGCCCATCGTTCCATCCCGCCGTGTCCTTGAAGTTGCAGTTTACTGAAGAAGAACGAATTAAAACTGAAGACTCGAAGGCCTGATGGGATGTGACGTATTGCATATGCGGTCGTCCCTAATAGCGCCATCTAGAAATTGACCACCTCATCATTCACCCTGCCGTTGATAAGCGAGAAGGTGACAAGATCTTTTGCTGCAATTCGCAACTGACCATCGCCAAGGGTCGATAGAACAGTGGTAGGTGGCACCAAGCCTCGATCAATGTCGTTCAAAATCCGCAAGCTTCCAAGCGCAGCCACTGCAGTGAATCCTCCCCAGCCTGTTCCAGGTGTCGTGGTCCGCACTGCACAACATCGACCAAAGGACATGCGACGGAGTGAGAAATGTAGTTCTAAGGATTCTCCGTCATGGCACGATGAGTAGCTAAGTATTTCTCATACATGGCCTGACCCCTAGTCACAGATCGTGGATATGTCCCTTTCTCTGGGGGCAGAAGGGAAAGACACTCGTCAATCGCAATTGCATGCTCTGTCTTCCCGATGTCGACATCAACCCTGATGCCTTTAACATATTCTTGTGTCTTGTGGTCAACCCGGCGGCTGTCTGCAATATGTGTTCTGGATATTTCGAGGACCTTCGTGCTCGAGATGACCCTACCCTTGTACAACAGAAGGAAGACAAAACGAAAAATGAATACACGTTACCCAGCACGAGTCCGACGAAAGTGATAATGTAAAAGAAGCACATGACCTCTCCAATCACAGACGTCCAAATTCACACCGCCATGTGCCGCTGGAGAACAACAGGACAAGTGCAATAGAGCCTGAGACCCCGACCTCAACAAAGGAAAACAACAGCAAGCCACAAAAGCGAAACACTAACATTCCCCGCAGTTCGGATTCCGGCGGTGTTCTCCCCACGGCAGGCGCACAAACAGTAACCATCTCACGCTTCGACTTAGGTAGTGCGGATGACGGCGGACTTAAGCGACGACTCTGTGGATGAGGACAAAAAATCATCGTTCACGACGCGGCGTTCATCACTGCTTACCAGCTACTTTATCCTTTCGTTCCTTCGTCGGCGACTTTGGCGCGGGCAAGGCTAGCACGTCGATAGCCTGAGTGCCGACCCGAGATTTTTTCGGGGACGTGACATGTTGTCGGCCCCCTAGATCCCCCTCCCGGCCACTGGCTAAGGTGACGAGCAGTATTGGAGAGGTGGGTGGTGAGAGAACGGTCTTCGAGGGCACGAAAGTTGAGACGTTTTGGCGGTCGTTTGGGACAGGCGCTGCAGACCGTCGCCCGACCACCTGCTCGTCGCCGAGTATCCCATGTATAACTTCAACGACGCTCAATTGTTGACTTCGTTGAGCCGGGCTCACAGCAGCGGAAACCTCATCGCAACGGTGTTGGAGATCGATTGCAGCCGTCAGCGGCTGAACCTCATATTCTTCAGGGTCTGTTGAAAGCTCACTGACCACCTGCGTCTCCATGTCCATTGTCGTCGCATCGTCGTCGACATCAGGCCCCGGATGGCCCACGTAAAGGTGCTCGAACGAGTCAGACAACTCCTCGCACTCGGCATCCTCCGCATTGCCCAGCCGTTCGTCGTCAATGTCGATATCCCCTTTTTCACCCCCTTCCTCTCCCTCCTCCCCTTTTTCCCCTTCTTCCCTTTCTTCCCTTTCTTCCCCTTCTTCCCCTTCTTCCCCTCCATCCCTCCCATGAGATTCACGTAATTCTCCAAAAACCACGTCGAATCCCGCGGCCCGCTCTCCTACCCCCAAGTGTGTACCCCCTCCCTCCGACACAATAGTCGTCGCCTATGGAGCCCTTTCTGAAGAAGTCCGGATTAGGGTGGACTTCGGCTCATCACGGTCAGCGACCTCTCCACTTACGCCTGGTGCCTCACTCCATGTAGTCCGGATTCCGGCGGACTTCGATGCAGGTCCCTTAGGGAGTCCGACAGTCAGCTTTCCGGCAACGTTCTCCCCCCCCTCAACACCACCGGCTTCCCTTGGCGTGGCCTCCTGTTCAGGCGAAACCCCACCCGAAGCGGTGGTACCCTCTGCTGTCCCCGAGGGTGTCCCTCTGACACCCACCCCTATGCCGCCCCCAGCTGCTCCTCCCACCCCTCCGCCTGCGCTTCCCGCGCCACCTGCGCC